TAACCACTACGCTACCAGAGTCCCTAGATGACCTGAAATACTGCTTGCAAAATGCCCTTTGCTGGACAAGGAAGTTGAGTGTGCCAGAGACGGCATCTTAGCAGATGGTGCAGATAGTTCTCTTATCTAAGTTTATTTCATTATTTCAGTCATACCAGACTCTCCTGGGACTTACGAAGCCAAGTCCCCATCTCCACCTCCTCCTGCTTCTCCACCTCCTGAACCAGTGCCAAAAATGGAGCCAGAACTGCCTTCCACCAAGGTAAAACTTGACCGGGATGGCTAAATTTCCACATGTTCTTTATTATCTAGCACAGTGCTTGGTTGCACAGTGGGCTAAACAGTGACCTGCTAACCACAAGGTTGGTGGTTCAGACCTCTTATCTGCTCCATGGGAGAAAGATGAAACTATCTGTTCCTGTGATGTAGTCTCAGAAACCGTACTGAGCAGATCTGCTATGTCCTGTAGGTTCTCTATGAGTCAGAATCATTTCCAATGACATTGGATTTGGTTTTGAGTTTTTACTGCCCAAGGATCTAAAATTCATTTTTTTATTATCCTAATTCATTTCACTTTTTGTGTATTTCACAAATGCCAGTAAATGGCTCTGGTTTGATTCCACTCTCCTGCAAGTTGTATAGAGTGGGTGTTCCCACCCCATCACCTGAAGTGAGCTTTCAGCTATGTTAAATTTATTTACATTTGTTACTTTTCAGAAGCTTTTCTGAAAGGACTGGATGGAAAAGGTGGCATCAAATGGGGAATAGTGTGTGAATGATCCTCAGCTACATCTTGTCAATGTCTATTATTTGTAGATAATGAATTATTGAGAAAATGGATGCTGGCATGGTTTTCTTCTTTGTGACTATTAATTTCCCTTAATTCAGTATAGTAACACTATCCTTTAAATCTTGTATTGATGTCCTCATTTGCTAAAGAGACATTAGAAGGAAATAATATTTACCCAGACAAACCCGCCACCCTCTACCCCCTTGCCATTGAGTCAATTCTGATGCAAATATGAGTATTCCTGAATACTTAATTGTGCTTATGAGGAATCTGTACATGGACCAAGAGGCTGTTGTTCGAACAGAAAACATGGGAATACTGACTAGTTTAAAATTAAGAAAGATGCGCGACAGGGTTGTATTCTTTCACCATACTTATTCAACCTGTATACTGAGCATATAGTTCAAGAAGCTGGCTTATATGAAGAAAAACATGGCATCAGGGTTGGAGGAAGACTCATTAAGAACTTGCGATATGCAGAGGATACACCTTGCTTGCTGAAAGTGAAGACTTAAAATACTGATGAAGATCAAAGAGCACAGCCTTCAGTATGGATCGCATCTCAGTGTAAAGAAAAAAATCCACACCACTGGACCAATAAACAACATTCTTATCAACGGAGAAAAGATTGAAGTTTTCAAGGACTTCATTCTTAGATCAACCATCAACACTCATGAGACCACATTAGGTGGATGTACTGTTAAAGTATCAAGGCTAAAATACCAAATGTCAAAGAGCAAGAGTATATGGTGTAGAAACTGCTGGTCTGATTTTGGGGCTGTCCTATGTGCTCCTATAATATCTGCTGTAGTACTCCATCAAAGCAGTATGATGTTATGCAGTGGTCTGTTTTCCTTGTCTTTTCTCCACTTGTTGTATTTGTCTTTGGATCTATGGTGCCTGAGTCACCTAGCAAGTTTATTGACTTAATGAGCACAGTTCTTGGCTTAATCGTCTCATAAACAATGAACGATTAAACCTTCCCCTACAGTGAACATACCTAGTCTGTGTGGTGAGATTTGTCCCCTGAAAGGAAATGTATAGGGTTCTTACAACTTTTAATCAAAATGGGATGTTAGAACGTAATTGTAGATTAAGGAACTTTTGCTGTTTTTTTCTGTAGCTTCACATTTATTCTCTGATATTTCAGGGCTCAAGTGGAGAACACAAAAGAAAACGAAAGCGTGTGCTGAAATCTAAAACTTATGTGGATGAAGATGGCTGCATCGGTAAGAAAAAGTTTTGACTCCAAATTCCAAAGTAGAGTTACTATCTTGAGAGACACCATCATTCTTTAGAGAGCAGCGTGTCTGAGACTTAATGTGCATAAGAATCACCTCTAAGTTTTCTTACGTATCTGAGATCCACACTTTGAGTAGAAGGATTATATCTAAAGTCAGAATACTCAGGGTCTTGTTTGGGCTATACTTTTGTGAAAAATAAACTTTGAGATCTTGGCTAAAAGCCATGTAACCCAGAGAGGGAAGTTTCCTGACCTGTGGAATAAAGGTCATGTACCCATTTTGCTTATCTCTGAGATGGTTATAAAAATTCTGGTGAAGAACAGTATCTTAAAAACACCTTCAAGATCAAAGCCATAATATGAACTTAAGTTATTGTTATCATAGACATTGAGAAGCTTTTGCCATTTTAGGATAGTTTTTATCAATTTTATCACTGCAAAAGAAGATGTTGATAACTAGACTTCTAAACAGAGTATCGTTGTCTTTGATGTTTTGTCCCATTTATTCTTAAGAGGGCTTAACTCATCTAACCACTTCTTTTGTTTCCTGTTTTTAAGCCACGTTGTATAAAAGCAGTAGTCCTGGTGTGGCACTGTAGGGTAAGCACTTGAACTCAAGGTCCGTTTGAACTACACGGTGCACAGTTCAAACTCACTCCTCCGAAACCCTATGCAGGGTTGCTATGAGTCGAAACTGACTTGACGGCTCTGAACAACAACAGCAGCAATATAAAAACATGTGCTTGTTATGGAGTCCTAGAGGAGAATTCAGATTCAGGCCAGAAGTTACTGGCTGGTTCTTTGGCCACCTTTTCCCCTCTCCATAATTGAACACACTGTCTTTCTTTTGTGGAGCCTTTTTTAGGACCTATCACTTGATGCCTAAAAGAGCCCTGCTAACCCAGTGGTTCCATGTTGGGCTGTTAACTGCAGGGTGAGCAGTTCAAATATGCCAGCTGTTCCGTGGGAGAAAGATGAGACTTTTTGCTCCCATAAAGATTTACAGCCTCCGAAACCCTATAGAGGGTTACTGTGTGTTGGAACTAACTCCATGGTACACCATCACTTGCGATGCTAAGATGCTGGGACTTTATTTTTGGGTTTGCAAAGAGTTGTGGATTTAGTTTTTAAACTTCTTTGTAATCGGTTAACCCCTATTATCTCTCCTTTCCTGTGGCACGTACTACAATTTGGCACTCCTAGAGAAGGTTTTTCCCTTTTTTTTTCCCCCCCCCCTCTTGATTTTCTTTTTCTAGCCCAAATTTCTGTCTTAATGATTAACTCTGAGGAATCAACTTTTTCTAGGCAGAATGGTTGCTAAAATTAATGAAAACATCCCATTGGTTATACATCCTGTCTTAACTATTCCTTTCCTTTCATCCCCCTGAAAAAACTTCTACCATTGTAATTGAAGCACAGGAGGAGCTCAGTGGTTAAAGCATTCAGCTGCCAACCAGAAGTTTGGTGGTTCAAATCCACCAGCTGCTCTACGGGAGAAAGATGAGGCTTTCTGCTCCCATAAAGATTTGCAGTCTCAAAAACACTACACAGGGTCACGATGAGTCGGAATCGACTCAGTGACAGTGAGTGGGTGTTGAATTTCTTACTGTTTGTTTTTTTTTTTTTCAAACTTAAAAAGAAAAGGATTAGTAGTAGTATTTACTTCCTCTTTACACCCCAAAAGAAAAACATCAAGTATATCTTTGTGAGAATCCATTGGGGATTTGTGGCTAATTGCTTACTGCTTTGCTAAAAACACAGTACTCAAGTTTTGGCCAGGTGTGGCATGTGGACTTTGTGCATGCCTGCCTCCAGACAGGACCATTAAGAGCCTTGGACGCAACAATGAAAACTCTGCTCACATAGCACTTTTTTTAAAGGTTTTTAGTCCAAGTTCAACCTAATGAATCTTGGCTCCTGTTACCAACAAAGGAGTTCTGCTTTCCTTTTTCTGCTCAACTTGTTGCAAATGTACCAGAGCAGGGGCTTGCCCTTTCCTGTGCTGGATTAGAGTTGTTCTGCGGGTTTACAAAGTTGATCTTTTCCTTTGTGTGTGTTCGCTGCAGGGACCTGGGAGTTAGGGAGGGATGTTTAGGATGGACTCCTGGACAAGGGGTGGATTTCTTAAAGCAAAGTAACTGAGAGGAAAAGAAATCTGACTTCACTCCCACAAACCAGGCCTTTTTTATGACAACTTAGGAAAGTGGCATGTTTTTCAGTTAAAGGTTCTGTATTTTTTAACTTGAAATCTATAGTTTGAGGTAACTATAGTTTTGATGGCAACGCACCTTTTAGCTCTTAAAACTTAATTGATGTGCTGCTTAAGAAATTCACTGGTGCCACCTAAACCAGCTTGTAACTCCCTCAAGCATTGCAGTTTTTAAAATTGTCATTGAAGCAACCACTGGTTTCATCAATAAGGAAATAAATTAATCGATGTTGGTGTACAATGACTTTTTAGAAATGCTGCCATTTGAATACAGAATATAACTTTTGAAGGAGCACAGTCTTATACCATGGTACAGTATTTCTCTTCTGTTTATTAAGTGCCAATCTCTACTTTAAGATATTAAATAAAAAACAGCTCATAAGTTTTTCCTAGCAATTCAGTTACATGATTGCTTTTGAAGATACATATTTGATGCGACTGGTATTCTGTAGCCATAATTGCTGGGAATGAATAGTGATGCCCAGAAATTTTCAAATATTTTAGTACAACGCTTCTCAAGCTTTGTTGAGTATATACATCATTTGAAGAATCTTGATAAAACCAAAATTCTAATTCAGTAGGCCTAGGATTTTACCTGAGATTCTGTATTTCTAATAAACTTACAAGAGATTCGAATACTTTACTGTGGTCACTGGAGCACAAGTAAGAGTTGTAAAGCTATTAAAAAAAAAAAAAACGAACCCGCTGCCTCCGACTCTATTCCAATTCATAGTGACCCTGTATAAGATTCTGAGGCTATAAATGGTTTTTTTTTTTTTTTCTTTTTAACTTTTTATTGTGAATTGAGTGAAGTTTTGCAGAGCAGATCATCAGTTAAATTGAACATGTCTGCAGTTTCCTCCATGTACCAACAGTTAACAGCATTGACCTATATTCACTTCAGTATTGCATTCCTCCCTATGTCTCCGGCTACCTTCATCTTTCCTCTGCTAACCCTGCTTTTGTTGTATATTATCTGTCCTATCACCTAGATCAACATGTTTCTGCCCTCTAGCCCTTGAATGATTTTTCCCTCACCCACCCCAACCGTCATAGATTGATTATTTCTTTCGTTTGTTTGTTTGTTTGAGCAATGATATAATTCACATTTTCAGAGTAACAATGGTGCACACCTTTCCCACCTCCCATCCCAAACCCTTCACTGGCATCAAGTCTCTATCTTGAGGTGTGAAATTTTGAATATGCTTCCATATTCACCCAGGACTGTAACTCACCTGGTGCCAGTGCCATAGCTTTTCAATCTTTTTGGGAGCAGAAAGCATCCTCTTTCTGTTGTGGAGTGGCTAGCAGGCTGGCTCTCATGTCTTGGTTGTGGAGGCTCTGTGCAGTGTGTCTGTCCCCTCTGCCATCTTGCCAGAAGTCCTGAGGCTGTAAACCTTTACAAAAGCAAAAAAGTGTCCCTCATCTTTCTCCTGTGGAGCAACTGGTAGGTTTGAACTGTCTTCTTGTTGGGTGCCTTTGAGTCAGTTCTTACCCATAGTGAACCCTCCTGAATCGGGTTTCTAAGAGCAGCTAGTGAGTTTGAATTGGCAACTTTGCTAAGTGCCATTGAGTCTGTTCCAACTCATAGCAATTCTGTATAGGGTCCGAGGAACGGCTGGTGGGTTTGAACTGTCAGTTTTTTGGATAGCAGTCCAGTGCTTATCCTAAAGCGCCACACCAGGACTCTTGCCTTGGTGGTGGTGGTGGTGTGCTGTGGAGTTGGTTCCCATTCATAATGACCCTATATAGGATTTCCAAGGCTGTAAGTCTTTATGGGAGTTGAAAGCCTCATCTTTCTCCCACGGAATGGCTGGTAGTTTTGAGCCTCTTTCCTTAGAAACTAATACGTATTTAAAGCTTATTAGTGTCGTTTAGCCTCCAGATTGGCAGGAGATAGCAAAGTGAATTCTAGACTCTTGAAAGTAATGGCAAATTCTAGGAACTTTTGGGAAGAAGACTGTTATGTGCCCTTAATAAGATTGGAGTCCTGGTGTGGCACTGTGGCCTAATGTGCTGGACTGCAGGGTCGGTGTGAACCACAAGATCAGTGGTTCAAGCTCACCAGCTGCTCCTCAGAAACCCTATACAGGGTTGCTGTCAGTCGAAACTGACTCAATGGCACTTAACAACAACAATAAGGTTGGAGGGATAAGGCTAAGGAATGCTCGAGTGTCAGTAGTTGACTTCCAGCATTGTCCAGGGTGAAGGGGAAATGGCACTGAATAGGACTTGCCCAACACTAGTAGACACTCCAGTCCACTGTGTGAGGCAGTGGTATCCTCCTTTCATAGGAGAGGAAAGAACAGAGGTTTTCAGTGTGACCCTCCTATTAGCAGCATCAGCATTACCTACCTAAAAAGCAAATTCTCAGGTCCCATCTCTTGAATCTAAAGCTCTGAGAGTGGGGCCCTTAAGGGGATTCTCATTTGCATTTAAGTTTGAGATTATATAATTGACAGGCTCTACAGAGTCTGTGCCACTAGAACACAGAGATGTTTGATTCCAAATTAAGAGCTTAAAATTATCACTGCTCTTTAACGGGAAAAATACCCTTCACATTAATCATTTGAGTATTTATTAGGCAAATTAAGTAACTCTGTTCAGCTAAGAGAAGTTCATTGTTTCTCCATTTTCAGCTCTCACCGTGAGGCTGAGAAAGCATTTCACTGGCGTTGGTTATACTCACAGCTGCTGCAGCTCTCTAAAGTCACAGAAAGGTGGCATTGTACTGTTTCTGGTGGTTCCTGTGTGGACTGTAGTAATACTAAAGAGACATCAGTTCTGTAGCATCATTGTTGTAAACCACTATCTCACTGGTATAGTTCTTTTCAAAGTTTCTAGTAAGGATGAGGGTTCACTTAGTTTTGTTGGTAGAGGAAAAGGCACCACATGCTTTTGGCTGCTTGAAGGGAAGAGAATTGGTAACTTTGTTCCTCATTTTATCGTTGTCCTCCCTTGCCATCTGATAGAGTTTGTTTGGGACATTGATTTCTATGATGTAGAACTCTACCAAATCTTGGGTTAGTGAGCAGCCTTCAGAATAACAGTTGAGTAATCTCAAATCCGCTCTATTTCAGACATTCACAGAGTGGGTAATATTACGGATAGAGCTAGCCAGAAGGATTCAAGGTATGTAGGATGAAGCTGACAAGCAGACCAGCGATGAAGGCCAGGAAAGACATCAGCAGAAATAGGGAGGCACTCTGGGTCAGGGAGATTAGTAGTATAAATAAATATTAAAGAGACCATTCAAGAAGTTAACTAATCATAAACCAAGACTCAAGTAAAGGATTTAGGCAATTAATAGATAGGCATGTGTGAACCCAAGATTCCTTCTGTACTAGTCTGGTAGAGTAGTGGATTACAAGATGGCCTGTTAACTGAAAGGTCTGTAGCTCAAATCTACCAGTTGCTCCGCAGGAAAAAAATGAAGCTTTCTGCTCCCATAAAGATTTACAGTGTCAGAAACCCTATCCAGGGTAGCTGTGGGTCAGAACTGACTGACTCAGTGGCACCCCCACCTGCAGCAGTGAGCACACCTGCCTCAAGCAGAGGGTCTGAGCAGGAACTCTCGTTTCCCTTGATAGAAGTGTTCTAATGGACTCAGTCCACTCATGTCCTTTTTTTCCTTCCTCCACCAGTGACAGAGAAAGTCTACGAAAGTGAGTCCTGCACAGATAGTGAAGAGGAGTGTAAGACAAAGCCATCCTCTGTGCACAGACCTCCTGCCATGACTGTGAAAAAAGAACCCAAAGATGAACGAAAGGGCCCCAAGAAAGGGGCTGCTGCTCTGGGCAAAGCCAACAGACAAGTGTCCATTACTGGCTTCTTCCAGAAGAAGTAAACTGCATCTCCACCGGGTCAGAGACTTGGAATGAGATCAAGACTTCCTCACTTACTGTGTAAGTTCATCTAGCTCCTCCCCTCACCTGTGTCAAAAGACTCTACTTGCATCATGTGAGGTTTATACTGTTTCTAGTTTTTAACAGTATAAAAGGAAATTACCTGAAAGGCAAGAGGCAAAAGAATACATTTAAAAGCTGTTACCTTCTAATGACACTTTCAAAGCACAACATGACCTGTCCAGGAGAAGAATTTGCTCCAGAAATAAATTGGAACGGGTTTCAGAAGTAATTGCTGATGCCATTTAATGGTTAATCCACTGTGGCCCACCCATCCTATGCCCTGATTCACTATGAGTCAGGAAGTATTCCTTCTTATTCCTTTGTAGTCTGTGAACGTGTGTTTGCCACTCCTACCATCCCCCACCACTACCACACTCTCTGTCCCCCACCCCCATGAAGTCGTTTTCTTTAAGTCTTGATTGGGCTAAAGACTGAAACAGAAATCTCCCTGTAATCCCCTTTTTCTCCATTATAAAGTACACCGGCACCTGGCTCCTGACCAGCACATTACTTGTGCTCTACCTCCTTCACAAAAGCTCTGTGGACCTTCACTCCCAATTAGTGGTTAGGGGAAGGCCTCAGGCGGAGCACAAATAGAAATGTAATGATGGATTCAACTCCACAGAAGTTCCTTAGAGCTCTTTCGTATTGCTGCCTCGAGTAGAGGTAGAGGAGTTGTCATGTTGCTGACACAGGGTGTGCTTTATTCTGCTGGTTGTGGTTTTTTTGCTCTCCTCCCCTCCCTTTCCTACTCTCAATACCTAGAGAGTGAAACCCATACAGAGAAATGAAGGCTAAAAAGAGAAATCCCTTCCCACATACAGTGTGCAACAATTACATATAATTTCTTCTCAAGGAAGCTGAACAGTCAGAAACAGCAGTTCTCCATGAAGTTGGTGAGGAAGAAGATAAGGCATGCATTTCTATATAGATGTTACCCATTTGCCTAAAAGTATAGGCTTGCCAAAAAGGAAACGGAGAGACAGAGTTGTTAGTAGGTCTACACCACATAGCAAGTACTTCTGGAAGATCAACTCTTCTAGTGGTAAACTTGTAAAGGAGTCCTTCAAGCCTGGGCAGGCGGTGAGCTCTGTGGATTGCTCAGTGGGCTCTGGTGAAAGGAGCTCAACTTTGACTGCTGAGGACCAGACGAAGGATGTCTGACTTGCTCTCGCTCTCTTAGCCTGATCTATGTAGTAAGTGATGTAGTCAGCAGTCTACTGTTGAAGGTTAGGAACATGGATGCCCTTGAGGTTAATAAGAGCTTCTTAGCAAATGTTACCCAGGATTCCATAGCCAGGCACCTCTATGGGCTTAATCAGATCGGAGGTTTAGAGAGGAATCCTGGTGGTATGTCCAGGACTTGAGAAAACTGAGACTTTGTGTTGCAAGCTGAGTAAAGGTTGACATAGTTTAAAACCCTTTCTTTTTAAAAATGAAAAAGGATGGCAAGACAGAAAGACAGATGAAAAGCCTGGGCTTAAACCTTGACAGTAAAGATTCCAGGGAAGACTGTGTGTGTGGTTGTCTCTAGTCATTCTTCTTAACAGGAATGGAACATTAAAGAAAAGGCACCAGCCCAGTCTTTTTTACTTACTTTGTTAAAATGCCGGGATCTCTATTGTAGCTGATTTTTTGAGTTGGAGAAATCTGGTGCTGTCTGGGCCTCCATCTTTGTGGGAACAGTACAAATCCTGTGTTCTCCAAACCCTAAACTCTGAGCTATCCACAAAGCTTAGAGTCCACTGAGTGGTGGCTTCTTTCTTCTTTTTTACAGTACTCTGCCATGTTTGTCCACAGGAGTTAAATAAATTTGAGAAGTTTGTTTTAAAACAGTGCTTCAAACGGAATGTCTGATGGGTCTGTTATTTGGCAGGGTGGTAGCAGTATATGCAATTATTTAGACTCTGAACAGGAACAAGGCTGGTTTTCAGTTTATATTGTTAAAACTGCATACCCATAGTCTGAGAGGGTCAAGCTATTTGCTGCCTTCATCATATTTTCAGCCCAGTGGGAAATCTTAGTTTCAGCCAACCTCATTTTTTAGTTCATTTAAGAGAAAATCTAGTCTTGACTTTGCACATTATATGATTTTGGCTTCCTCACCTGCTGGCTGTGTGATCAGGGGCAAGTTTCTGCGCCTTGGGTCCTTTATCAGAATAAAACTCAAATGAGTTAGCTATGGGTTGTCAGAACTGGTAATGTGCGTGTACATAAGTTTAGTACACCGTGCCTGGCCACATAGGTGCTCTACAAATCGTGGCTTCCTATGTATATCATAAATGGTGCAATCAGTTATTGACGTCCTGAAATCAGTTACTAAAGATAGGCCAGAAGTTATTATGCTCATTCAAAGCTATCACTCTGGCTGTACATGTAATCAGAAGGGAAAGACAGTTGTCCTCTGGTGAAGGCTTTTAGAAGAGTGAATATTTTCCTTTTGAAAGAAAATGAGAATCATAGATAGCTGTATTTACTATTCATTGACACTTGTTTTGTGTCTCTGTTCGGTGTCAGACCTCTGACCTAGACACTAGAGATTATGTAATGGAGGAGAATTTGGAACTTGTCTTCAAGGATCCAGTGGAAGAAACAGGCTAATAAAATGCCATTACACTGCCAAGTGGTGATTGCAGTGACAGGTAAGCACACGGTCCTCTGAAAGTTCATAGGTGAACCTGGAGGAGAGGAAGCTAAGTGGTGTCTCTTAGGATTTTCTAGTTAAAAGCATAACTTCTGTGAGAAAGATGGACTTTAGAATTTACAAATAAGGAAGGAAACTAGAAGTGGAGTTGGGGTTAGTAGAAACTAAGCAGTTTGGATATTATTCGAAGATAAATTTATTGAAGAATTTTAAGAAGAGAAGAAACATTAGAAGTTGATTCTCAGTTAAGGGTAATGACTGGAATTATCTTTGGTTTTATTTGTCATGATAGTATCTTAAGTTCTAATAGGATAAAAGTATTATAGTTAATAGAAAGTGCTTAGTTCTGACCACCAGCGTAAAAGGCTGCATTATTTCCTTTGTCTTCCTTCATCAACATGGCTTTCTGCAGCAGAACCAGGTTTTTAAACGTGATTTCAAAAGCTGATAGTTCTGGGATGCTCCCAGTGATAGACGTCTCCACTTACTTTCCTGAAAAAACTGAGGGAGTAGAGGGGGATGCATGAAATCCTTCTAGTCCTCTTCTTTGTTTCTCTAAGAAGACATTCGTTATTATACAGGAGGAGCTGAAAAAGAAGGGCCATATAAGGAAACTAAATTGTTTCTCCAGGACACAAGTAGAAAGAGTGTCTAATAGTGTACTCTGTGTCAAGACTCGTTTGGGTAAACTTGTCTCCTTTCATTGGTTACAGGATCTCGGTATGCTGTAATGCAGCTTTTTACCACCATGAAATATTCTGGGCCTGCCACGTTTTGTTGTGAGAAGGCAGTATTGCTTTCTGAGTTATTGCCCAGGCGGCTCTGTAAATTAGCCCATGCTGTCACCATGCCCTCTCTGAAGGGCACATTGTACCCAAATGTCTCCATTTAGGATGGACTCTTGCCACTCCCTGCTGCTTGACACTTCTCTCTACTTGTATCTGTGTCCAGTTTCTTGGGTTCTTAAGTGCAGGCCACCCACAGATTGCCACCCAGGCTCCTTAGCCAGAAAAACCTGGGAAGAGTTCCCTCCAATACTTTTTCTGTCTGGGATACCCACTTTGAGTCTCCTTCTGTTTAGAACCCCTAAATATTGTCTGACTCCTTTTTTTTTTTTTTTTTCTTGCTTACTTTTGCTAGACTCATTGTTACTTTAGGCTTCACCTAAGCTCTCTCTCTCTACCCCCCAGCCCCATTTGTTTTTTATTTATGGCTCAAAGTTGTTCATGGCTAGTCCTTATTTCACTTCTTTCTTTTAAACTTACTTTCCCAACCTCCTTATTCCACATGACATGCCTTTTACTGGATTTCTCTTGAAAAAGAAGAAAACCACTTTGTTCAGTATCTGCTTTGGGTCAGTCAAAGCCAAAGCACTGAAGGCTGTTGAGTTCTAGTTTGGTTAGTCCTGGGTCAGACACTTAGGGATTGCAAGGCTCACAGGTTACCATTTTGAAGTGATACAGTATACAGAGTAAATGAAATTATATGATAGTTGAGAAAATGCTTAGATGATTAATATTTCAGTAAAAAAAAACAACCAAACTAATTACTGTAGAAGAGTTGATGTATTTGAGTTATGGTATTGGAAAGGAATATTAAAAGTACCATTGATTGCTAGAAGAACAAACAAGTCTGTGTTGGATGAAGTACAAAGACTCCATAGAAGCCAGAATGGCAAGACTTTGTCTCCCCTACTTTGGACATATGATTAGGAGGGCCCAGTCCCTGGTGTGGGACATCATACTAGGTAAAGTAGAGGATGAGTGAAGTAGAGGAAGACCCTCACATTATGGATTTAGGTAAAGTAGAGGATGAGTGAAAAAGAAGACCCTCAACGAGATGGATGGGCACAGTGGCAGCATCAATGGGCTCAAATGTAACAATGGTTGTGAGGATGGTTCAGGACTGGTAGTATTTTGTTCAGTTGTGCATAGGATTGCTATGAGTTGGAATTGACTGGATAGCGCCTGACAACAACAACAACAGTTGCAATCAAGTTGATTCCAACTCATGGTGACTTGATATAGGGTCTTCAGTGTCTGATTTTTCCAGAAGTATATAACCAGGCCTTTCTGTCAAGGCACTTCAGGGTGTACTCCCAACTGTGAAGCTTCTGGCTAGCCTCCAAGTGCATTAACCATTTGTTCCACCCAGGGACAACTCCTTAAGAAAAGAACTATGGTAATCATAGCACATTTCACAGTCCTATGCAAAGAACAACAAAGTAAGCCAAGAAACGGACTGAGGAAGAGTCATATTAGTGGGTTTTTGCTGTTGGACCCCACACTCTCCAGTGTGGTGCTGTGGGTTAATGTGCTAGACTGTAAAGCTGGTTTGAACCGCAAGGTCAGAAGTTCAAGCTCACCAGCCACTCCTCAGAACCTCTATACAGGGTCACTATAGGTTGGAACCAGCTCAACGGCACTTAGCAACAGCAATGTAGCAAAACCATAAGTGAGTCCTTAAGGGGTGTTCCTATCCTACCCTAAGTGAGACAATTGACAGGAAATCATGTAGGTGGTAATGGTGGTGGTGGTGTGCTGTCAAGTTGGTTCCCAATCATAACAATACTGTGGAGGGCTTCTAAAGCTATAAATCTATATGGGAACAGAAAGCCTCTTTCTCCCATGGAACAACTGGTGGATTCAAACTGCTCGTCTTGTTAGCAGTCCAATGCATAACCCATTATGCCACCA